TACCGGGACGGTTTGTTTGTTTGAAGTTATGCACAAAGCTACACAATGGGCTGTCTGTGCTCTGCCCACCACGGGTATCGAAACCCGGTTTCTAGCGTTGTAAGTCCGCAGACATACCGCTGTGCCACTGGGGGCATACCGGGACGGAAAGACTAGCTTCAAATAGCTGGGCTTTTCACGGCTTTCCCGTGTTATACTTGAATAAATTTTCAAGAGAAAGGGAGAAGGTTGGAAGTATGAAACAGATAAGGAATATTAAGGCAGAGCTTGCAGTTCTATTTAAGATCTTTGATTATTCCATTTCTTTTGTAAGGGCGGAGGTTGGGAGTAATATATATAACATATAGTAGAAATATTAGGGCGTTTCATTTCATTTCTACTTTAGGAATTATAATAACTTTAAAGGGTAACTGTCTTCCAACAACCGGGTGCAGACAGTGGAAAGCAGTATAAATTGATATGTTGTGGATGTAAGCACTCAACTCCATAACTAACTTTCCATGATTACTAGCTAGTTTAACACCAGCGTTTGAATTTTGTTTGGGATATCCCCAACGCATTTGGGAGCCATTATCACAAACAATATCCCTTATAACTTTAAAGTAGCGACTGGGATTTAAAATGAATTTTGCAAAAATCTTCTTGGTGCTTATTTTATATCAAGTTCATTATTGTTTTATAGTGCTGGTTTTAATCGCTTATTAACAATTAATGTAAATAATAGTGTTGAAACTATTACACTGTAACAACTGTAAAATCGAACACAGATCGTGAAAAGAGGTGACCATTTGTGGTGTAAACTGCCACTATAGGTGATTATTGGTCTATAGCTCTATTCAACCATAAAGCTACTGTTGTGTAGGAGGTTTTGAGTTATTTCAGAAACACTATGCACGGGCAGAGGAAGCAATAGTTACCTGGGTGTGTGTGGGGGGGGGGGGGATTTACGTGTAAGTTATCGCTCATGGAAACTGAACAGGGATCAGAGGGTTTTACATCCAGAAAATGTCATTTGCAGGCTTCCAATGGAACAATTCCTAAAATATACATGTTAAAGCGCAGACATGTAGTGTATGGCAGGCTTAAAATTCTAATTCTTTATAAACTTTTGACATTAGGTGTTTTAATCGACGCTGGAACAATTTTTTATAGTCGGGGGGGGAGGGGGTCCTGAAAACCATTGGACAAAAGTGTTATCGTAGGGTCCTAAAAGCCATTGGACAAAAGTGTAAATCGGAGAGGTACTGAAAACCATTCAACAAAATTGTAATTCGTGGGGGGTCCTTTAAGCCATCGAACAAAGTTATAACTCCAGTATATGACAGAAAACACGCATGAGGTTTCTGTTAAAACATACTGTTACGTCTCCGTTTGTTAAATGATTTTCCGTAACTTCGTTACAGACGAAACTTAAGCGACACAAGTTCTTTCTTAATAAAAACTGGTTTAATTCTTTCCGAATACAACTTTACCG